AGTTTGGGTCGTGAGGAGACGTCGGGGTGCCCAAGGCTGAGCGGGCACCGCCTGACCCCAGGCTTCTCCTCCACCGACGCCTCTCAGGAGAAGCGGTGTTCTGAGTTTGGGTTGCGGACCGGGTTGAGGATTCTGGTGTCCGGGTGACACCGCCTGCCCCTCTGTGCCTCGCTGTTTGCTGACAGTGGGCCGTTTAAAGCGGACTTAGAGGGAAGAGCCGGTTTCTCGAGTACCGGCCCTGGGTTTTGCAGGGAGAGGGCGGGACCTTCCTGGGGGGAGGTGGGCTGAGGAAGAAAGTCCTGGGTGTGAGAAATGGACGCCCGTGCTCCCCGCATCGCATGGGGCGGCTGCGCGGGGGTCCTGGTCGGGGGTGGGTGAGGGCGAGCAGGACCTTGCAGATGGGTTGGGGTCGCCATCGTCAGACAGCGTGCAGACGGAGTCAGGCTGCACGGTGCTCTTGACAGAACCGTCGGCCTTGCCTTTCTTGACTGGTGGGTTTCCTGAAGATTCTTCCCAGTGGTTGAGGGGGGCTGCCCACCCAGACTTGCTGGCTGTGAAACTTCTGCAGAGCTGGGGTTTAGGAAGGAAGTGTTCTGAGCTTTGCGGCGAAGGTGGGTGTCCCTGAAACCAGATGGCACAGAGGAAAGCGGTTCATGACCCCACAGGCAGCCCCCACTTCCCAGTGCCCGGCGAGGGTCTGTGGGCCCTGAGGGGGCAGGACTGTGGGAGAGGACTGCAGAGTGGGCAGGAGAAGCAGAGCGGGGGGAACCCTCGCTACTGGGTGGTTCTTTGCAGGAGTGGATGTCCCGACCCCTGGGGCAGGAAGGGGCAGTTGTAGGGTGATGGGCTGGAGTGAGCCGTGGGCCCAGCGGGCAGCAGGGGTGATGCAGGCACATGCGGTGTGGGGCAGCTGAGGGCCGAGGGGCTGCAGCTTCTGAGTGCCGTACCTTCCGGGGGGTCGCAGCCCCCAGCCCCCACGTGTGCAAGTGTGTACCTTCATAGGGCGTATGTGTATGTGTGTGACTGTGTGTGTGCTGTGTGGACAGCTGCAAGGATCAGAATCCTGGTTCCCATGTACCCTGCCCTCTGCTGGGGTGGGCGGTTCCGCCCTTGCGGAATTCCGGGCCAATGACGGCCGTGACCACCTTCTGCCTCGGAGAGGCCGCTCTGCAGAGAGGCTGGGGGAGAGCGTGGAGGAGCGGGCAGCTGGGACGTAGGAAGAGGTTTGGGGGTCACACTGGCCCTCAAACTAGAAATGGGAGATGGGGGCCCGGCCAGGCAGGACCGAGACGCCTGCCTCCGCAAAGGGAGAGACCTGTCACGTGATACCCAGGCTTGGTGGTCCTGATGCGTCTCTGCTTCCTTCTGCAGTCGTCCTGCCGGGCTCCTGATGACCCCTGTGCTACGGAGACGTCGTCCTAACCCACCTCTGACTGATTCCACCCTGACCCCCAGCAGAGCGGTGTCTCCAATGAGAGTATGAGATAGTACCTCAGCCATCTGCGGCCACGTGACAAACAGCACTGTGTGTGCTGTGTTCCCCAGGGTCAGGCCCCCAGGAGCAGCTCAGGCCCGCTGGTTCTGCTGAGGGTCGCCGCAGGGTGGTAGCCACGCTGGCAGCCGGGCTGCAGGCACGTGAAGGCTGGGGCTGGGCGGGAGGGGCCACCGCCAGGCTCCTTCGTGTGTCAAGTTTGGTGGAACCCACCGAAAAGCCACTGGGGCCCAGGGTGTGTGTGGATTTAAACAGCCCACACGTTCAGGGTTTCCTTTTGTTTCGGTTTGTTTTAAACTGTGTATTTCTGGGATATGGTTTATTTAAGGTTTCAGTTTTGGGAACAAATTGCTCGTTGTATTTCTCAGGGCCTCTGTACTTGTCTTTTTTATCCCCGATGTGAATGATCGAATGTGTGCAGATAGCTTGTGAGCAAATCACAAAATTGTCTGTTTGAAAGAGTCTTTTGTGAAAAACTTCTGTCAGTTCTGATCATCTTTCTAGGGGATGGGGCCCAGGTCTGGGCGGACGCAGAGCCCAGGTTCCAGCCCTGCCCCTCGGTCAGGCTGGCAGCCCCTCTGTCCCTCACCAGCCCCCAGCTTGCGGCCTCTTGAAACTGAGCATTTGAGTGACAGTTCTTTGGTGGGTCAGGGGACACTACTGTGGTCTGTGTTGACTCACACCACCTCTCACACCGAACGTGTGGGTTTTCCCCACTGCACACACACCTCCAGTTCTCTGCAGACACCAGCTGGGTGTCCGACAGTTCGATTCAGTTCTGACACTTAACTGCCCGGCGTCAGTGCAGACCCTGCAGGGTGAGACTCAGCCCCACAGACAGCCTCACCTCGGGCACTAGGCCCGAGTCCCCGGCCTCCTGCATTTCCCGCCGACCAGCTGTAAATCAGGGGTTCCCTAATCTGCTGTAACAGCTCACAGAACTCGGGAAAGCACCGCCTTACTGACACCTGTGTACTATAAAGGCTGCCACTCTGGAGCAGCCAGCTGGAAGAGATGTGGAGGGCGGGGCGTGGGGAGGGGGCGGAACTTCCACGCCTTCTCCAGGCAGCCCCACCTCCCAGCACCCTAGAATCCCGCCATTTACAGGGTTTTACGGAGGCTTCATTACGTGGGTGCGGTCCATCAGGTCGTTGGCCACCAGTGACTAAGGCGTCCCTGGAGTGTGGGCGGGTGGGTGAAGGGGAGGCCCCTTGTCCTGCTCGTCCGTCCACAGTTTGCGGGGCAGCCCGCGGCAGGGTGCAGGGAGGGCGCTGTGAGCAGGTGCCACAGGCCCAGAAGTGGCCTGACCCCTTGTCCTGGGCCTGAGGGTGAGGATCTTACCTCTGGACGTTGGTGACTTGGTTTTCAGGGTGTGTTTTCTTCCCGCGTCGCGCATTTCCTTCAGATCGCCTCCTCTTTGGGTTTACCCTGCCGCCCTCGCACAAGAGGGGCTCCCCAGGTGTTCGGCAGCATGGGGGTGTCTGCTGGGGTTCCTGACAGGACCAAAGTGCCGGTCAGCCCCTGTGCCCTTCGCTGTGGCTCTTCGGCCGTGAGCTTTTCACGGGGGCCTGGGGCCCCTGAGTCTGTGTCTCTCGGCGTCTCCTTTGGGGCCCAGTTCTGCAGAGAAGCCTCTTCCTGCCCCGCCTGGGGAGGCTGGGAGCCCAGAGAGGGGGACTGGCCTGGAGGGGTTGGGGGCCCTTGCAGGGTTCCACCTGGGGCCTTGGAGGTGGGTGTTGCGTGGTCTGCTGAGTGGGGGCCACACTGGGCGTGGTCTGGGGGCCTCTGGCCAGTCCTCCCATGAGTACTTGCTGGGCTTGTGGGTACAGCTCCACACTTGAGTCCCTGGCATCTGGGGCTGCGCTGGGTGTCAGGCCCCCACCCCGTGGTGCCCTGGGTCCGAATGAGGCAGTGGACAGTGCAGGCCTGGCCAGCCACCTGGCAAGGCGGGGATAGGGGTGGGCGGGACTCTGAGAAGGCAGCCCCCAGGGAGGGAGGGAGTGTGGCTGACACCCAGGGGACCGAGGACGCCTTGTGTGAACTTGGGGACCCCTCTCAGGGTCGTTGGGATGCTGCCTCCCCTGTGGCCTCCTGGAGGTGCTTTAAGCCTGTGTCTTTTCTGTTGCAGACTTTAAAAAATTCAAAAAGCCTTTGCTCCCTTGATTACGAAGACGAGGACGAGGATGACGCCCGAGCGAAGACGGCCGTGTCCTCCCCACGTGACCCCCACGGCCCGCAGCCCCGGCCCGTCGGCCTTAGCCCGAGGGCCTCACTGGAGTGGGTGACCGCCGAGGGTGAGGGCTGGAGTGGCGGGGACCCTAGTGACTGGGACAGCGCCGGGGAGGAGGGTGCCTTCCCTCTGGACCGCAGCCGTGAGCTGGACCTGGAGCAGATCGAGAATAACTGAGCGCCGGGCAGGGGGAGCAGCGTGGGGGCTGGCGCTCCGTTTCTTCCCCGTGAATGTGCTTTTCGGACACGAGGTGTCACTGTGGTGCAGTCTCTCCTAAAGAAGTATTTTGCATTTTTATGGCTTTTACAGTTCTGAGAAAGCGTCTCTATTTTGACATGAATTTTCGAAAGGGCGTTCTGTTAACTGGAGTCTGTGTGCAGACCCCAGCCTGGGGTTGTGTTCCTTTTGTAAACTGCTGGCTGTGAAGGGCCTGTGTGTGGTGTAGCCGTGGGAAACCTGTCCCCCGTGTACTGAACCCCTGGCCTACACTGCCCGCTCCTCCTGCTGTAAGGAGCAGGGCCACGGCGCGGGCTGCCGGCCAGGGTCGGTGCTCTCTGTGCTGAGGACTTGGGACAGGCCTTGAGGGTGGTGGCCTTGGCCACCCCACTCTGTCACTTCAATAAAAGGCATTTGCTTTGCACGTGTGGCTTTTGCTTCTAACTTTTATCTCCTGAGTTGTGGGGGCAGCTTGGTTGGGCCTCGGCCCTGCAGAGGACAGAACGTCGGGTCTCCTTTTTTTCATTCCTAATTTCATAACATCATAAGATTTCTACCAAAGACATTGATCTAAGGTTTAAGAAGGCGTTTATGATAGTGAAAGAAGACATTTATAATCCTTGGAGATATTTTCTTGATTTTATTCCCCGAGAAAATTTTCGTAGGTCCCTGTCATTAGTGGAAGTGCCTTCTGACTGGTTTGGATTTGGGTCCAAGGCAGGCGGAGCTGGGAGCGGAGTTCTTTCTGGGTTGGCCCCCTCCCTCCGACACTCCCCTGCCAGGTAGGAGCAGGGTCTTACGACGCACCTCCTGCCTCAGCGCCAGGTGGCCACCTCCTGAGATGTCAGGCCGCCCTGCAGGGCACTGGCCAACCTTATGCCGCTCGGATAAAATTCAGCGGTACCTCGTCTGACACGTTTACTTGCAGAACTGAAGTGGCCATGATGGTTTCTCTTCCGATTAACATCAAAGTGTTCTTCCTTTTAAAACCTAAGCTCTGGCTCTCGTCAGAGTGCGTGGTTCAGGCCGTCCTGAACTCCTGGTCCTTTTGAGGAAGCAGGGGATTGACGTCTGTGCAACAGATGGATGCAGAAAGGACCTCTTTCCCGGTCCTGGAACAGACCACTCAGAGGCTCCCCGCCACTGTGGCGGGGCCCATCTGGGATGTTGCCTGGACAGTGGGGTTTTGGAAGGTCTCCAGGTTTGGTTGAAAGAGGGAAGATCAAAAGTAAGGTGCAGCAGAGCCGGGTGCTTCGGGACTGGGAGCCAGGCCCCTCCGCGGTGCCACCGTGAGCCCAGGGGCCTTCCAGGTGGCGTCTGGGGAGAGCCGGCTCTGCCGATGCCCCGGGCTGTGGGACCCTTCAGCCCAGAGCAAGTCTCGAGTGGGGCAGGAGCCAGGAGGCCACCTGAGATGCAAAGGAGCCTAGCACCTGAAAGTGTCACTTGCCTTTCCAGAGCCACCACCTAGCCATGCGTGGTGGTGGGGCCCCGAGGGAGCCTGGGAGCCCGCGTGGACAGCCTTACCTGGGGGCTGGGGGTTTGGGACCCTGGGTCCCCTGTGCTGAACTCCTAACACCACTGCCAGGGTCTACACTGGGAAGTTATGTTTGGCGCTGAACTTCTGGAGACAGACTCCGAGTGCTTACCTGTGTGAGTCAGCAGTCAGCGCCCCGTGGTTTGCTCTGGGCTGTGGGGTGGGGAGCCACAAAGCACACGGAGACAGGGCCCCTCGGACAGGATGGCCTGCACAGCCCCGGGGGGTGGGACGGGGCCTTGGAGGTCATCGTAGTGGCGTGGGGCTGGCTGGAGGGCCCTCCGGGGGTGGCTTCTTGGCGGGGGATGGACAGGGACCCTGGCCTGAGTGGTCTGTGGCAGGACACGGGGGACGCAGAGGGCAGGGGAGGTGGGGAGGGGTGGGCTCCTCGAATCCCTGTCCAGCTGGGCCGGTGAGGGGGTGGTTTGCTCCAGGCCACTTGGAGTCGGCCCTGCAGGTCTGAGTGGCCTCGGAGGGGCATTTTGGGAGCCCAGGTGAGAACTGCAGCTCCCTGTCTCCTTGGTTCTCTGAGGTAGGTCCCCGTAACCCGCTCGCCCCCATACTGGTTGCCCCCAAGGCAGGCCCAGGGCTTTCCGTTCCCTGAGACTTAGGTGCCCCACTTGGGCGGGGTCCCCGCGTCACTCACCTAACCCTGGACAGGTGCAGTCGAGTCTGCCTTCCCCAGCCGTGGCCACATGGCTGCCTGGGGTGAGCCTCACCCCAGGCCGGGGCGGGGCACGCAGGCGGGAGGCGGCTCCCGGAGCCCTTTCACTGCGGCCACGTGGTGTGGGCGCCTGGGGGCTGCTCTAGCGCTGGGTGGGCCAGGTGTTGGTGGAAGCCCTTCCCCCTGAACTGGGGGCAGGCAGGCGACCCCAGGGCCCTTTGGGGTGGTGGGTGTGTGGGTGGGACTGGGCAGGGTCTGCGAGGGGGCCTGGGGCTCCATCCCTAGGCATCTTCTCAGCGTCAGTCCCCTGCAGGGTCCTCCCCGTTGGAGCAGACCTGCCCAGGCAGAAGTGCTGGAGGGCTGGCACGTTGGCCTTGGGGAGTGGATGGGGTCCCTCCCGAGACAGCTGCCCCTCAGGCTCCAGGCGGCCCGGGCTGCTCCCCTCAGGGCTGCCTTGTGGCCTCCTCTTCCCTGGACCCTGCCCCCTCTACTTAGGTGTCCCACACTCCAGGTCCCCGGGCCAGGGTCTCCAGAGGGCTTCTGAGGGGGAGGGGGCTGAGGCCGGGAGAAGGCTGGACGGCAGCCCCCTCCACTTGCCCACAGCACCCCTTGTCCAAGCAAGCATCCACCACACCCCCCTTATCCTCCCCCAGAGACCCCCATCCTCCAGGACTGGCCCTACCCTGGGCTGCCTGGGCCAACCCTGTAGTACCTGCTCCCTACCTACGCTGGTCCACTCTGTCCCCCACTGTCCAGAGCTGTCAAGGGGCCTCTGCAGACCAGGCCTGGAAGGCAGCCCCTCAGGGATGGACCCGGGACCCCTGCCACCGTGCTGGCTGCCTCTCTCTGCTGCCCTGTGCGCTGGGCCTTCTCTAGCTTCTGTCCTGACTAATTGTGCACCTGCCGTTCCTTCTGCCAGGTGGCTTCAGGGAAGGGGTGGGGGGTGGCCTGGGCCCTAGGCCACCAAAGGCGATGCTGAAGCCAGTGATAGGAGATAGCCCCCCCGCTCCCACCATCTCCCTCCTCATCCTGAGTTCTCTCTGGCCACCTCTGCCCGAGTGCCAGTGCTTGGACCACGCAGACCGGCCCCTTCCCTCCAGGCTGGAGCCAAGTGACCAAGGGCAGCGGCAGCCCTGTACTGCTGCCACCCCGCCCAGCGGACCCCGCCCAGTGGATGGGTCGGAGACCTCATCTTCAGTGAAAGCATGAATTAGCCCCTCTTTCTGGGCCTCCCTTGCCTGTCTGGCCTCTGGGTGGAGGGGGACTGCCTGGAGGACCCTGAACCTGTGGGCAGGAGCCTCGTCCTTGTGACCTCCTGACTCCTGGTGCAGGCCTGGCAGACACAGATCCCTCTGTAGAAAAGCCAGAAACTGGGGCTCAGGAAGCCATGCACCTGCTCGTTCAGTAGCTGTTGACTGCCCAGTTCCTGGGTGCTGGGCCCTGCTGTAGGCTTGAGGAGGTGAGAGAGAGAGGGCGTCCGGGCAAAATGTTCATGCAGCAGAAACAGCCAGTGCAAAGGCCCTGAGGCAGGAGCAGCCTGGGGGTGGGGCTCGAGGGTCAAGAGTGAGAGGGGAGGGGGTCAAAATAACGTATCAGGAAGCATAATGGGAAAAATGGGCTAAGCTCTTCTGTGAGTGGGTGGGAAAGCCACACGTGTAACTTCCCACTCGCTTGCTGCAGCAAAAACTTGACAAAATTACATGCAGAAATTCACTGACCCACCATCGTTGGAGATTTTTTGCTAATCCTCCCATAGTAGTTAATTGTTCAAAAGAACACAATACGGGTATAGAAGATTTGATCGCTCTGGTTAGTGAGCTCCAGCTAACGGACGTCTGTGAAATGCAGCTCCTGACAATTGGGAAATTGCACTAATTCCCAGTACAAAATCAACCATTAATGGGCCAGAAAGAAAATGTCAATTGACTTCAAGGAATTTATATCATACGGATCATACTTTCTTAACACAACTTGAAAACAAAAAGGAAGACACAAAGCCTCATTTGTTTAGAAATCTAAAAAATACACTTCATGTGGGGGTGTGGGGGTGTGGGGGAGGGTGCAGCTCAGTGGTAGAGCTCACGCTTAGCGTGCGGAGGCCCTGGGTTCGATTCCCAGTACCGCCACTAAAACAAACAAACAACTCACGGGTCAGAGAAGAATCACAAGTTAGAAAATACTTAGAGCAGAGTGACAATGGAAATGCTGCAAATAAACTTGCCGAATACCTCTGAGGCTGTGACTGGGGGGGAGATTTATACCCCTGTGTGATTATGTTACGAAAAAAGTCAAAATTAATGAGTTGAGCACATAATTTAAGAAACTCAACAAAGGTCAGCAAACTTCTTCTTGCAACAGCCAGATAGTAAACATTTTGGATTTTGAGGGCTACAGACGGTCTCTGTCGAATATTGTCCTTCCCCCAGAAGAGTTAAATCCATCCTGTGCTCCCAGCAGTCACATTTCAGGGGTTGTTTTCTGACCCCCGAATTCGGGGAATGAAAGAATAAAGCCGATGGCCATTTTGCTAATGTTGGTTCTTCCAATCCAAGAGCACAAGATGTCTTTCCATTTCTTTGTATCATCTTCAATTTCCTTCACCAATGTTTTACAGTTTTCAGTGTATAGATAACCTCCTTTGATAAGTTTATTTCTAGGCATTTTGTTGTTTTTGATGCAATGGAAATGTTTATGCCAGTTATAAATTTCTGGTTTTTGAAGTGGAAAAAAAAAGTGAATGAAGGCC